TAGCTAATACTCAGGGAGCTAATTTATTGTATTATTTAAAATATAAATTGGGTAGCAGATCTATTTAGTGAGGTAGAACAGCGAGGCAATGGTGCATAATTTTCTCTTAGCTGTTGAGTGGTTTTTAATAATCTATTGAAATTTAACAGAGAACGATTTCATTATGGGAAGTGAATAAATAACTAAGAAGCTTAACATTTAAGGCATTATCCACACATGGAAGATGGGTTTAAAAAATTAATACTCTTTGAGGAACACAGAGGGAATTGGGTTTGCTTTTTAAACGGTCACTTTTCTGCTGTTGACTTGGGAGTGTGACCAGGCCCACAGAGTTCCATGCGGGAATGTTGAACCAGGCAGAGGGCAGCGTGGGGCAGAGGGGTGGGTGGAGGGGTGAGACAAAGGGACCGAGGGCCTGGTTTTTGCTTTGCACGGTCTTGGCTTTGGTAGTGAATCCCGTGGGGCTTGTTTTCTGTCAACAAATGTTGCCATGAAAATGTTGTGTCCTTGGCACACGTTGTAGTTTTAAATTCCTGGGACCTGGGGACATGTGAGGGTCCTGGGTCCCGTTCGGCTGTGGGTCAGGAACCCAGCTATATCTAGATGCCCTGTCTGGTCAGTTGTCCCAAACAGGCCGGCTCTGGACCTCATGGGCTCCGGCGCCACCGGAAGGTCCCGGCGAAAGCGGTGGCATGGCCCTGAAACAATCGTTGCCAGTTGTGCTGGAACCAAGTGGGGACTCAGGATTGGACACAGGCAACGATAGGACCTTCTGGTCTTCCTGCTCTTCTGATTTCCCCAGCCAGGGTTTCAGAAAAGTTTTGGATCTTATGATTTACCCACTCGGGTGGATGTCTCCTTGATCTATTTTGAGAAAAAGAAAGAACGCCCAAATGTTTCTTCTTTCCCCAGGAGAGTTGCCATGTCAGAGAACCAGTGGTCTGAGGGTGAAGGGGGTTGGGAGGAGAGGGGGCACGCTGACCTGCAGTGTCGATCAATTCCCGTGGTGGGGACACTCCCCCGTGGCGGAGTTCCCGCTACCCTCGTGACTCCCGTGACCTCGCTGACGAGGAGAGGGGCAGCGAGGTGTGCGAGGGTGAGAGCCGCAGCACACCACTGCCGCAGCCGTCCCGCACTGCTGTGTGCAGGAGATCACATCCTGCCAGGCTGGCTGGCCCTTGCTTCGGTGTTACCCAGAAGCCAGTGAGTGAGTCAGCATCCCAGGCCCCACGGCACCCCTGGCCCAGAGCGCTCACTGCTGGAACCTCGACCCTCTCTTCCCTGCTCATTCTGTCCCCAAAAGGAACTACAAATATACATCCTAAAGCTAGATATTGAGCAAGCGTCATTAATGGGTTGGACTGTGCTTTTTATCCTCTTGTGGATGTCAAATATAAAACCGGACATGGAGGAAGTGAGGTTTTGGTTACTTTTTAATTGCATCAGATCCTTTTGTTGTAAAGTGGGTTCTTAGAAAGGAAAAAAGGCAGGACAGCTTTCTGTCATTCTGCTAAGACAAGTAAGGTCTTGCTTGCTTGACACTTCTGTGTGGGGGGGAGAAGGCGTTTGGCACTGCAGGTGCTGAAAGGGGGCGGAGGGAAAGGACGGGGCGGATCGTGGTGTTGGCAGGCCTAGGGGGTAACACTCGCTCTTGACAGTGAAGTTGCTCACACCGACGGAGGTTTGAGCTCCTCTTCAAGCTGCCTCCCTACTCTCATTGGGAACTTTCCCAGGGGAAGCAAGGACTCGCCGCATGGAAATGAAAGACACCTGGGAGAGAAGTATTCCCCCTTCTGAAGCATGTATCATAGTCCTTTCTTTTTGAAAAACTATTGCAATGAATTTTAGATTTATTAATCTTGTAACTTATGCCCTTCCTCTACTCTCCAAAGGGGAAAAGAACTCCTTTTTTTTCCACCATAAAGAGTCAGAAAATAATGGTACGATGGCCCCTGCATGAGTGCTTATTATTGGTCTACGAGGCACATGGTTCGAGCTTCAGCCACGACTGGGAAACCTCCATGGGCAGTGCCCATTTCTAGTTCCAGGGAGAACTGGACAATTTTCTAACAAACAAAGTGAATTGAAGTTCTAACGCGTTCTCTGTAACCTTTTTAAAATCCAGATGCATTTGTGACCCCCTGGAGCATCCGGAACCCGTGAGTCCAGCCGGTTCAGCTCCAGTGTGGGAACAGCCCCAACACACAGTTTCTGGGGATGAGGCTGTTACTGCCCAAGGAGCCTGGAGATTGGTCTCTTCCCATCTGCACGTGTAATCATGGCCCTGACACGTGCCACTGCATGAGGAGTGGTGGTGCCCTTCGCTTGTGAGTGGCGAACAGCGTGGCGGTAAACGACAGAAGGGTGTCTTTTTCAGCACTCACAAACTTACTTTTGAGGGTGATATCGGTGAAATGCTGTATGTGAACCTGCTGGAGAACAGACTTGGAGAATGTGTGGCAAGGAGACTTTGCTCCTACAGGAGCTTTCCTTTCCAGTCTGAACGACACCCTTGTGATGGCATTTGGTCATCACAGATGGCAGCTCAGAACTGGACCAGGGTCAGGCAGGTCACTGAGAATAAGAATTATGACACCCAACCGTGTCCTCTCTCCCTGGCCACGTGATCGTCAGGGACGTAAGTGGCACGTGTGTGCATGTGTGTGTAAAGGCCAGGAGAGCAGATGACCAGGAAGAAATACACTAAGGGGAGGTCATGAGTAAGTGTTCGATGAACGTCTATTTGTAGCCTCCCTCGAAGTCAATGGAGAATTGCATGGCTTGTCACAGAACAGGAAAAGCTCTTCTAAGCAGTAGTCCTCACAGAGTAGTCCTTGGGCCAGCAGCATCCGCATTGCCCTGGAACTGCTAATAATGCAAATGCTTAGGCCTTGCCTGAGGCCTTCAGAATTGGACCCTGTACGGAGAGGGCCCAGCAGCCCACCGGAACAAGCTCAGATACTTTCATGCATGTCCAAGTTTTAAACGACCTCCTTAAACCAAGATCATTGATCTCGGGAGGGATCACAGTGAGGGAACACAATACTTGAGGGTGGTCGATACAAGCATTTTGATGCTGGATCTTGAAGAAGGAGACTTGTCAGAAGAATAATGACAATGACTAATGTTTCTTGAGTATCATCCCAGGCATTGTGCTAAGTGTTCTATGGGCGTTATTCCATGAACCTCTCCCACAATTCACAGCTCTCCCCAGTGGAAACACTTCGTTCCCTATTGTATAGTTCAGGGAACAGAGGCTAAGAGAGGTTACGTTACTTGCCCAAAGTCACATAGCTTGCGATGCCTGGAGTCGTGCTCCCGCGCTCTGACACACGGCCCCCCTTCCCTGAGCCCGGGCAGTAAAACACTGTGCTAGCCCCCCCCTCCCATTAGCGGCAGCTCTGGTCCTGGAGACCAGGTGACCTTAACTCGTGGGTATTCGGTTTATTGCTGTGCTGGACCATTGCTGCCAAACTCATTTCCAGTAGAAGCAGCTGGGTTTTGTCACAAACGTAACTTCCCTGTGTCCTCAGCTGAGCTGAGGTTGCACAAAAATCACGCATCAGATTCCTGCTAAGGCCAGAGATTTGGACGGGAACTCACAGGAAGAGAATTCTAGCCTGGGAGAACGGGGACAGCAAACGTTTTCCGCGAGAGTCCTCCGCAGGGCCTCCTGGCGCCCATCTGTTCACTCTCAGCCTGTGACAACAAGTGGGACACACTGGGTTTCCAGATGCAAGCCTTGGCACCGGTGGTGGACGGGCTCCGCCGTCGCCGCAGCAGGGCGCAGGTGGCCCTCGGCGGAGTGTGGCACAGGACAGGTGTTTCCCACGGTGTGGGAGCAGTAAGTCCGGTCCCACATCTGCGACGGCGGTCTGCTTCCCGGGCCCACCTCGGAGGGCTGCTGAGAGGCGGGTGAAAGGTTCTGTTCTGTGACTAAGCTGTCAAGTCTGGTCCAAGAGGAAAGCGTTTTTGGACAAGGACAATGATTTGATTAAAAACACTGGTTTGCATCAGCAGCCAGGGTTCTAGCTAATTCACTCACTTACAATTGTGTGACTTGTTTCATACATCCTGAGAGGAGACACAGCTGCCCACTGCTACCCAAACTTAGTCTACACTTAAGTCTAGTGCATGTCATTGTGCGTTAATTTTGCATACAACTTTGGGGGAAAGTGTACTGATATTGCTGTAGGACTTTGAAACGTATCAGAAAGATAAGATGGATTCATACATAAATAGTGGGATACGTGTATGAGAAAATGAACAAAGTGGGGGTTAATGAGAGAATCTAAATGGCGTGTGTATGGAAATCTTTTAAATTTGCTCTATGTTTGAAAATTGTTCACAATGAAATGTTGGGAGAACTCTATGCTGCCCAAAAACAATGGCCTTCTAAAATTTCAGGAGGCAAGGATTTTTTTGTTTCTCGTTGTTTTGTTTTGGTTTTGTTTTTCATTTATTAATGGTAAAGGCTGGCATGGAAAGTACAGCTCAGTGAGAGGGCCAAGTGGACCAGCAAAATGAAGGGTAGAATTGGGTCAATTCTCCACCCAGCTGCAGGCAGAGCTGAGCTGGGGTGGGTCCCCCCGGGGGGTGCCCTCCACCTCAGGACCTAACCAGGTAAGATTTATAGCATAGCATAGGGGAGCAGACAGCTCCCTCCCAGGCAGAAAAAGACAAGAAGGAATTTTCCAGTTTTATACAAGTTAATGATAAACTCGACTTTGTGTAAAATTAAATAACAATGCGACCTCAAAGCTTTCCCACCTTCAGGTCCCTATTGTTAAAGCTGCCAAAAGCAAGACATTAGCATATCTAGACATTAGCATATTGAAAAAAAAAAGTTCTGTATCCAAGCAAGCTTTCAGAATACTTCAATCTGAATTAAAGCTTTCAGTAGATAAATAAAGAAGCCATGAAAAGAAGAAGAAAATAAGAAAAAAATAGAATATGCTTTTCTCAAAATTTCCATTTTTCTTTTGTTTTCCTTCTTTCAGCTCATCGTTCGGGGTGGAGGACACAATTTACCCTTTGACCAGCCTCTGAGAGCTTATGACATGATCAATCGCTTCATTTATGAAAAAGGGTGGGACCCTTATTGATGGATGAGCTCCTTTCCTCAAAGAGAACGTCAGGGGTGTGAATTTTTGAAAAGAAAAGTTTCAAAATGGAAAATGTCATATAAATAAGAAAACTGTCTCTTTTTTTCTCTCTCTGCAAAATGTTGCTCGTCAATAAAAACCATCCTTGAAATTATAAGTGTGGTCCTGTTTGGAGGGAGAGGTGGTTCATCCTGAAATTAACTTTAAGAAAATGTGGCACATGAATGAGACTTACACTTTTAACTTAAAAGATGGGAAGAATGGATTCTGAGACACCAATTAGGATAGTTGTGGACAAAGGGATCGTTGGGGCCTTGAACAGAAATTTTAAATTTCCTCCTGAGAGTATGTGAAAAGTACAATGAAAAAATAGAGCTGTAACAACATCTTGTTACATAAAGAGCAGATTTTCGTCAGGCCATACATTGGCAGGCGTGTGGTGAATACTATTAGATAAGAATAGCTCAGCCATCACTCTGAAGGAGCCGGTGAGGTTGTAACAGTGGTGAGGAAGACTTGGGAATGTAGAAAGTCTTAACATGAAAAGTAGCCTGAAATTCTTAGAAATAGAAATCTCAGATATAAAAGTAATGATATAACAATTGATGATAAGCAGGAGACCTTAAGTTAGAAGACATACTGAATCTTTGCCTCTTCCTTCTCTTTCTTTTTTAAAAAACTTTGTTGGTTCATCTGACGTGTACACGTTTATCGAACAGCCTACAGGCCACATTGGTCGTGAGCCATTTTTCATCTGGGCTGTAGATTCTGTACTTCTTTTAGCCAGATAAACAATGCCCTAATTTTGTACAATTTTTGAAATAACAAAAAGGGGGGGGGGAGAGAGAGAGAGATAACCTGGCATCAAAATATACATATTTGAAAATATGCATACATCAGTAAATGTCCTACTAAAAGATCGCATCTTTATACGCGCACGCTGTCAGCTGAGGGCCAACGGGGACGCGCTCCACCTTCTCATGGCAGCCCTCCCACCGGGGGAGTGTCCCTGTCCGGTCTATTTAGTGCCACGCTTTTCACGTTTGTGCTTTTCGTTGGTGATTTTGCTGTTCAAAGGGCTCCTGAGCATAGAGCCCAAGTGCTGCCTAGTGTCTGTAAATGCAAGAAGTCTGGGATATGCCTCATGAGCAAAATATATTCGATAATCTTCCAGTGAGCGCAAGTTCTAATGCGGTCGGCCATGAGTTCCATGCAATGCATCAACATAAAGTAAATGTGTTGTTTTTTTTTTAAAGCAGAAATACACATAAAACATAGTGTTGTATTGACTAGTTGACAAAACCATTGTGACCAGCAGCTGGTAGGAACCCAATCCTGCATTTCCCCCAGAAGCGGTGGTTCAGAATTCTTCCATTCAGCATTTGCGGAGATGTTATAGAAAGTCCAGGGAATGAAGAGAATCGATTTCATTCACGGAGCACAGGGTACGGCGACACAAAACAATAGCTCCACACGTGGAAGTCGTCGGTGTCGCCATTCTCATCGTCTCTCGGTCCCACACCCTAGGACTGTGGGGGGTGTTGTGGGGGAGGTCCCCTCGCCAGGCCTTCCTGGAGCCCCCTAGCCGACTCCTCTAAGGGTACACGCCCCTGTGAACACTGAATCTGCCAGGTATTTTACTTTAAAGAAGGAAAAGAAAAAGAGGCTAAAGAAAAACAAGTTTCGGGGTTTAACCAGAGAGAGTCCTTTGTGTAGAACTCTCCAAGTGGTGGGGGTGGGGCACACCCCCTGTGAGATGCCCAGGAACATCCATCGGTTCAGGCGCCCTCCCTTGGCCCAACCCCAGACAGATTTGTCACGTGACCGCTGTTACCGTAAGCAGACAACTTACGCAAGGAGGGGCCGTCGTCAGGAGGAGGGGTGAGGCAGCTTCTCATGGTCCTGGGTCCAGCTTAGGGCCAAGCATTGCAGTTTACACGCCTAGAGGATGTGACTGGTGTGATTAATTTCATAAACAAAGCCCTCCCGGAGGATCTCTCTGATACTTCGCCATGCGATGGGACGACCACATAGGTCTCTGGCCCCACGTGGGCCAGCTCAGGGCAGCGTGTTTAGAGGAGTCACGGAACCCGAGAATGAGGCGCTCATTCCCTTTCTGACGAAACGCCAGATGTTGCAGACGAGCCACCAGCTTCTGTCTTGGTGAGCGGCTACTGTTAGTAGGTCATCTAGCACGTATTTTTAAAAAGTAAACACGTTATCTGCCCTTTTAAGGTAGAAGTGGTCCTTTAACAATTAGTGAGAAAGTAATTTCTTTTCAAAAGAAATTGATCCACAGCAAGAGCATTTGAAAACAAGTGTTTGGATATGTTTCCATCTACTGTATGCATATTATAAAAAACACCCTAAGTCGGGGAATATTTCAACAAACATCCTTGCATGAAAGACAGGCGGGATAGAAAAATGAGTCGGGGAGTTAATAAAGCTCAGCAAGTGAGGAATCTCTTCCACTTGGATCCACATATCTCTGTAAGGTGTCTCTTTCAGCTCCGACGGAATCTGAAACCCAGAGTCAAAATAAAGCGAACAAAGAACCAAACATTTGAGTTGCTATTTCACAATGCGTGACCCAAGGTTTGCCAAACATGACTAAGCGTATTCAACCCATGGATCCTGTTAAAAATATTAACAGCCCTATTTTTTTTAAAGATTTTATTTATTTATTTTTAGAGGGGGAAGGGAGGGAGAAAGAGAGAGAGAGAGAGAAACATGAATGTGCGGTTGCTGGGGGCCGTGGCCTGCAACCCAGGCATGTGCCCTGACTGGGAATCGAACCTGCGACACTTTGGTTCGCAGCCCGTGCTCAATCCACTGAGCTACGCCAGCCAGGGCGACAGCCCTATTTTAAAAAGCAAAATATTTTCTACTACAAAAAATATAACTTTAAAATAATTATTTAAAATTTCACCTTTATTTTATCCTTTTACAGTTTCTATTTTGATGAATATTTCATAATATAAATGTTATTCGGGGCATGATTATACTTTATAAATGAATAATTAATTAGATACATTTGGTACGCCTTTGGCGACTTTCTAATGGTAAGGATGTAGGCTCAAAGGTTTGGAGAGCACCATCTGAGAGCACAAAAAGGTCTAAATTTAAGTGGCTTTATATTGTGTGCTAATGATATAGTGTGCTTTCATTTAGAAGGGAGGAAGGAGGAAGGAAGGAAGGAAAGAAGGGAGGCAGGGAGGAAAGGAAGGGAGGTTAGGGAGAGAGACACGGACGTTTTGTAAAGAATGGAGTGTCTTTAGAAAGATGAATGAGAAACTAGTAACAATAGAGAGAAGGGACTGGGTGATAGGCTTAGGTGGAGAGGAGACAATTTTCAAAGTAATTTTGATTTTTATAAAATTGTGTGCTTGCATTTTATACAATTATATATACATATACATGTACATATATATGTACATGTGCATATACAAATGTAAACAAATAAAATCTGGCCCCAGGATCTCAGAGAAAGAACTGCCCTCTGGGTGGTTTTGCTGTGGAGGCAGAGCCCCGAGGACCGGCCCTGGTGGACTCAGTCTGCTGGCAGGATGCCCTAAGGAGGAGTGCGTTTGGGTCCCTTGGGCAGCCGGACACTGGGGAGGCGAGGATGGCGGAACCTTGAGAAGAGGGGTTAGAGCAGGTAGGAGGCGGAGAGTCTGGCCACGTGCTGGTTGACACCAGAGAAATTTAGAGTTCTGTGGAATCTGGAATTAGAGGCGATGTCCGCACTGGTCTCCTTGCCCTCACTGCACACACAGAGAGCAGGCCAGGGGAAGCCGGCTGAGCGTTGTTGCTGCGTCGTCGTGCTGAGGCCGGGGCACTGAGTTGATCTGACCTTGGGGTTGCCACTGCAAACGGGAAGAGAAGCCCTTCTATTGCAATGGCTGTCTGCTGGGAGACCCACGGAGAAGGCTCAGCCTTGACCTCTGAGGGTTCCACACAGGGTTTGTTCCAGGACTGACTCTCACATCCAGCTGATTTGAATAAACCCCGCACCACCACGCTTGAGTTTTTCCATCTCATCTCTGTGGAGCCAGGGAAACACCTAGAAGGCTGTCTTTTTGCAAGCCCATTCACTGAGTGTCTTTGGTGGCATGTGAAATGGCATTTCTTTATTAAAACCTCCACACGCTATGTAGGAACATATCGGGACAGCTGTCGCTTACCAACTTCCCTTCTCCCCCAGGAAAAGAAATATTCTTTAAAGAGGTCGTGTCGAAATGCTCCCATGGTGTGACTCACTGGAGGGAAATGTCAAAGGCTTTGGGGCAAAAATAAACAAAAGTGAGAAAGCACGCAGATTTTATTTAAAAAATGACTTGGAGTGATGTTGCACTGGAAACGGAAGCTGATCTTGGGCAGGGTGGGGGAACACTGGAGAGGGAGTCAAATGAGGTAGTTCGTGCAGGGTGCGGTCTCACCAGAATGTGTTTTTCTCGGTAGAGTTGTGACGGACGGAGGACAAGGGGCCTCTAACCAGACGGGGCTCCCTCAAATGAGCTCCCCCCGCCCCTGAAAATTCTTCACAAGTGTCAGTCGAAAACCTAACAACAGGTCTTTAAGAATTCTAGTTTCTTACAGAATAAGAAATGCGATTCTCTTTTGGCCCCATAAGTAAACTGAGCTCCACAAAACTTTGCTTCTAGAATGTGTTCTCTCGTTGGCTGGCCAGAGAGGAGAGAGGTGCGCCTGTCCAGGCAGCGTGTCATTCTGAGCCCCAATTCCAAATGTTCTGCAATTTCCAACTCTGGAGTGGAAAACTTTTCTCTCTGCTTGGACTGGAGTAGACGACAAAGAGTCGATAGCTGCCCTGGCTGGTGTGGCTCAGTTGGCTGGGCGTCGCCCCTCAAAGGAAGAGGTCGGGGCTTATGCCTGGGTTGAGGGTTCAGTCCCCCGCTGGGGCACGTACAAGAGGCAACCAGTTGATATTTCCCTCTGACGTCAATGTTTCTCTCCCTCTCTTTCTTCTTCCCTTCCCCGCTCCCTAACAATAAATTAATACAATTTTTTAAAAAGAGTTGATAGTCACATTCAATGTGGAAACGTTACAAGGACGAGAAAAGAAGAATTCAACAATCCAGTGTTATTAGGATATACTCGCTTATGAGAACAGGTGTTTACTTACGATATCAGGTG